TTAGCAAAGCTGAATTTATTCGACAACTAAAACCATCGAATTTGGATCAGGATGAGTTACCATTATTAGTAATTTCGTCGTTTCGAGTCGATTATTTTTGCACTTATTATCTTGTGCCTCTCAGTGCCAATATTCGCTTGTGCAAAATGTATTTTGTGTTCGTCTCGATAAAGCTTGGCTGAAATGACACGTCGGAAATGTGACAAAATTGCGATTATGAAAAGGCGAAAGAACAGCATAGTATAGAAGTAGAAAATGAGAGTACATGATGATTGTGACTCTTTTTGCCTTGCATCAAATAGATTTAAATCTCGCCTTATCTTTTTTCTAATTATCTCAGCGTTCCTTTTATTCGCTTTGGAATGAATTTTCGTTGGAGAAAGCTTCTAAAAGTTTAATAAGTATAACGAAATATTTTTGTCTTTATCTCTAATCAAATACTTGGCAACTTGTATGATCTTGTATTTGTTTTTGGACAACTTTTAATTGTTAAAAAACTATTTTTGGTTTAGGAAATATGTAACGAATGACATTTTTTTATACTTGTAATATATAATGTATAATATATGTAATATATAATTTAACATATTTCTAATTTAATAAATAATTGAGGGAACAACGTATATATTTTTGTTGAGTTCGTGCGCGACCGAGTTCCGGGGGGGAGCTTGAGGGTTGGCACGTAATGACTCGTAGTACTAGAAATCCTATTCAACTTTATTTATCTCGTACAGAGGACCGTACTCGACGCGATCGTAGCATGAACTGCCCGGGGGGCGCGAGTCTGCCTCGCGACCACCCTCTCGCGGCGGGCGCGTGACGACAGCGGGCCCTAACCTCTCCCCTCTTGGGAAGCTACTGGTGAGAGTAGGACTTAGCCCTTGGATCTAAGACTAGTCTCCGTGGTTGGATTCTTGTGCGAGTGGGTCTGGACGGAGTATCGCCTAGGCTCCACTAGGTTACGTGACCGCCGTACTTTCCAAATCACGTTACTTGGTACGTCTAGACAATGGCAAATCCATCGAACGTCACATCAACCATATTTGGGAAGGAGGTGACGCCCCGACGATCCTGAACGCCCCAGTTTCGGACGACTGGATTTTTTATGAGCCTAACCCGTTGTAAACCGCGCATCCTCCTCCTGATCATCAAACTACACATGAAGATAACAGGGATCTAAACGAGC